ACAGCTACAATTTTCTGTTTGGTTAAATTGGGGTTTATGGTAGAGACACAAAGCAGTGCAAAATTATTAGTTGGATAAACAATAATACATGGTCTTCAAAAGATTTCACAAATAAAATTCTGAAATGTGTGGTATGTCTTTGAAGTATGCGTCTCTTAAATTAAACAAAGTGTAAACTATTCTGCTAAAAATTCACCTAGTATATAAATAAAGTGTCTAGAGAATCTGCTGCTATCAACAGCTACTTTAGGAAAATATAGGACAAGGTAAAATACCTTATGGGGATTTGTAATTAGTTGCAACAATAGACTTTATTTAAGAAATATGCATTTCAGTTGTAAAAGCAATAAAGAAATAACATTGCAGGCTGTTTGGTTTTTATACATTTTAATAAAATATTGCAACATGGACATCGCCATATTGTTTAAACTGCATTGCATTTTGGGTAAATGGTGTATGCTTGGTCTGATTGGTCCTCAAGCCAAAACAAAAATGAATAACATCGGTAGGCTTTTCGATTTTAACAGGAGTGCTTTCAAATTGATGGAACATGGAAAACATAGAACGGGGTAAAAGAAAATAAACAAATAATAAATATTTTTTTAAAAAAAGGGAGGCGGACCAAATACAGAAAGAGGACAGAGTTGGCCTTAGAATCCGGTGTTTGTTTACCTGCCAACTTAAGCTCCATAAATGAAACAATGAAGAACATTTACCTCTGGTTGGACTGTGTGATTTGGAAAGTTTTTTCTGTAGCTCGGTGTCCGGTCTTCGGCTCATTGTCGGTCGTGGTTCCACAATCGGTACCGGCGGCAATAGCTATCATTCAAGAGTTCCCAGCATTGCGTATCTCCGATGTTTCTCCCAGCGTCTTTCCCTCGTTAGTCGGCAGCGGAGTTTAGGCTCTTTGTGTATAAAAACTATTTGCACACTGTTCGGTTTTATCTTGCTGGGTGTGAAGGTGCGGTGACAGGTTGGGTAAGGAGTTAGCATCGGTGGTTAGCCACTCTAAACTGAATGATGTACAGTATCCCACACGTTTACTTTATTTCACGTTGACCATGCGAAACCAGATCTCCATGGCACTGAACTTATATTGTCTTCTCATAAATGAGAAATGTAACAGAAGTTGCGCTGCTCTGTAACTCATCACGGCCTTTCTTTCTCACTTCCGAAAAAACAATATGGGGTGAATTCTTACTCGGTGGATAACAACAAGAAAAAGAGAGAATAGACGCCCCCTAGTGGTGCCACCTACTCAATTCTTGGTACTGAGCAGTAAAATGACTGCCAGATCCTTCATCAGTTTTTGTGTTTGCTCTTTAGATTTCAGTGCAGAACAGACCAAACCGCATCCTCAACCCAGCATGCACTGCGCAGATGAAAAAATGGTGACCTCCATGGATGAAAAATATAATGAAAGATCTCATTTTTCTTCACAGTAATTGAGTTTTTACGTATCACAAACAGCATTTTTAATGTAATAGGAAATTACAACATAATTAGGCCAACGTGTTCAATTAATCATGGATCACTTTAAAGATTGGAGAGTTTTGTGCACTGCTGTGTCAATTCTCTTTTAATTATAGCCACTAGCACCTGATATCTTTATGGAAATCAACAACAGCTTAAAAATACTTGGGGTTGCCTTTCATAGGGACTTGCAAAGTGAAGTAATCTAATATTTATGTCCCATCTAATTGCAAGCCATGATTACAACCTTGGCCTTAAGAAAGGCTTTTGAATAAATTGAATTAATTTGGCAGCCACGAGATGTGCATGCATGCTGATTCACGGTGCTCCACCTTTTGGTTGAAATTAAATACACTAATGATACATTTACACCAAATAAATTACTCATGAAAAAAATAAATCCAAATATACATGGTATCTAAATCAATGTTATTTCAAGCATCCATCTGTGTATGGAGATAGAAACTCGAAACACTCATTCTTAACTCTGCAGGTACCAAATATTTCTTCATCTTCTCTTTATGTCTGTCTTTGCTTCCTTTTTCTTGACTGCTCACACATCCAAGAAAGGCACTGCATGATCCCACCCCCGCCACCGTTCGTTGGTCTTCCAACATGCAGCTGGGGTCACGGATGATTAAAGCTGTGGCAGGTGGACTCCACTTTGAAACCATCAATAGACCCCTGGGAGTGGAATGAAACAGCAAACCCTCCATCTCTGTCAGCCCGGGGCTCTCTGTGGCGCAGAGGGAAAGGACATGCAGAGGGTGAGAGGGCAGACTCCACCTCTGGATCCTTGTCATCCACTGTTGTGTTCAGCTGAAAACAGTGGATGAGTTATGGAGTGGAGGAGTTATGAAGGGATTCCTGGTGGGATTTAAGGCAGATTCTGGCTGTCTGCGATCCCGATCAGAAGTTTGCATGTCGTCATCATTAGCAGTTTATGCCATGCTAATTTTGGCCACTTGAAGACACTTTTGAACTTTTCTTTTTCCAGGGTGGGATGATCACACACCAAGCAACTTCAGTCATTTTAATGAACAAGCATCTTAGGGACTAATATGAATTTATTTTATCTGTAATTTTCAAGCAAGGTATCTGACTTCTCTTTTTAGCAGAAATGATAAGAGGTCATTTTAAACTAGACCTGGCTTCTAGGCCTTGGCATCAAATTTCCATTTGGGCTGCCTTTGGGTCCATTACACAATCTCAATGTTGAACTTGTGGAATGTTTAATGAAAGGTTAAGGAATTTTACAAAAATTAAACTAATAGGTTTTAGGGTCTCAGGGTGACTTCAAATCCAGGAATACTGTACTAACTATTAGGCATGGTGAGAGTGGCATAATGCTTATAGAAGTTTGCATTCAAAAATGTGGGTAGAATAGAAAAAACTTGAAGACAGTTGAAGGTTCAACAGGTTACTGAAATGGATAAAGATGACTAATATTAAGCCCAAACTTATATGCCATGTCAGTGATGGTTGTATGGAAACGTTTCCATCTATTTAGACATCTATCAATCTATCCCAGTGATTCATTAGTGATAAATCCACCAATCATCTGAAGAGATCAGAAGATGTCATCATGATTTTAACTTGTCCATGTGGGAGGAATGTCCATCCATGTCTTTATCCAAACACTCCTGTCGTATCAATGGACCTTAAGGCATCCACAGACCAAAGAATTCTGGATTTACCCAGGGCACTCCTCCCAGAGACACATGAAAATCGGAGTCAGAGACAACCTCCACTGGCTTCTTTTGATTAAGAAGAGCAACAGCTCTGAACTGAGCTCCACCTGAGTGACGGAGGTTAAAAAGCAGGGAAGGTTTTAAAAGTGAAAAATCAGTAAAGACTGCATTTCAAATGTGTCCAATTCATTTAAAAAACCTGTTTTAGTGCAGCATAACAGTAATAAAAAAACAAAAAAAATATGTAAAACAATTAAGCCTGAGGTTAAATATCACAGGAAGCAGTGAGGTAATTTATGAAAACACAGAGCAGTACAGTAATAAGGTTAAAAACAAAATAAATATAAATAAGACATAGAAAAGACAAATACAAAAACAGCAAGCAAGTTTGCTGAAACTCAACTGAATTAATAAAAACTTTTTAAAAATGTACTCAAACTACAACGCCTGTGGGCTACATGAAGCTGTCCATGGTGCTGAAAAACCTTAAAAAACGTTTTGTTTTCTAAGCGAAAGCTTGGTGGATCTTGTTAAGCATTCTCCAGCACCTGATTAAGAAGATCTGAGGCATAAAAGAAAAAGGTCTAATAAAACCAAAAAGAGTTGCTAATTCTGCTAAGAACCCGTGTAGTTTGGAAATGTGTGCAGCAGCACCAAAGAGTGGGATACGGATCTTGCTCACTGACTGTGATGACCTTCAGCTGGGCGCGGCTGCTCTTATCGTGTGGTAATCTGCAGCAGTTTGGCATTACGGCACAATTAAAATGCGTATTCAAAGCGAGCTGTCAGCATGGCCGCTCGCCGCGCTGTTCGGCACCCTGTAGTGGGAGAGGGTGACATCTGTGACTCCGCGCCAAGGGAGCCCGGCAGGCGCGCCTACTTGTTCTTTGAGCGCTGCTTCCAAAAAAAAAAAAAAAAAAACCCACCGATTAATTACTCCACAGATTCAGGACAGCATTTTTTTTCTTTCTCTCTCTCTCGCTCTTGATCGGGTTTTGTTCAGCTTGAATGTCTATACACTCGCATGCAAGGTAAGACCTTTTCTTGTTGTTGTTTGTCCTGGAATGCATTGAGTCTTGAGGCGTTATACAGGAAACAAGGAGTGTTTGAGATCTGATAGGGTTATCAGCGCGAATGCAAAAAGATCAGACTCCAGCCGAAATTAGACTAAGGAATATTCACTGATTTCTAAATACACTCTGCGATCGTTTATGAAACTTGCACGTCTAAATGCCTGGGTTAGGACACGCGTTTTCTTTTGGATAGCTTTACTCTGTTTCTAATTTTATGTTTGGAAAATAATCCAAACTCACTTCCAGTTGACTCATAGGTCTTACCGGGATAACATGCGGTTTAACACCGTGAAGTATACAACTATTGTGGGCTGATCGCTGCTCACGTTCATATAGTAACCAGAACGCATTCGCTGTCTGAATTCCTATTGGACTTCGCTGCATAAGTATGAACATTAGTGCTGATCACACATGCATCCCTGCGTTTTCCTCTTCGTCCAATGTACTCCACAGACTTAATTCATAAAGAGAGAAACGAAATAATAGCCATAAATAAGCAATTACTACTAATCAAAAATAAATAAATAAATAAAAAAATAACTAAATTACCTATGTAAGATTGAAACATAAAACAAAGTTTTGCGTCAAAGGTGAGCAATACTCCGCGCACATTTTGCGCAGAAATGTGAACTAATCAACAGACTTTTGAAGAAAGAAAAAAGGAAGTTTAGCATCAACTGCCTGTCGCTATTATCTTTAGGACCCGGCGGAGCGTTCACGGGAAACTGGACATTGTGGCTCCATTTCAGACATTTGCTTATCTCTCTCGTCTGTTCGCAAGTCGCCTGGGCTGTGAAATCTGGCAACCTGTCCCCCAAGAGTCGCTCTGCTTTGGGATGGACTTCCATCAAGCTGGGGACTAAGAAGTGATTCCCCTCAGCTGATGTAGCTGCTTGAGGGAGCGGGCTCATTTATTTTTCTGTGCGCCATTCGGGTGAACACAGCGCCAATAAGCAGCAGCGCTGCGTAAAGTCTTGAGTGGACCACAGTCGATGTTCGGAAAGGTCCTGAGAGAGCGAGGACTTTTCTATATAATGATCGGATGAAAACACGCTTAGTTAGTAACGCCGAAAAGTTGAAGGAAAGTTGAAGCAAACAGAAACGTCGCGGGTGTCCGGGTGGATCCACGCGTTATGCGTCAACGTTACTTCTTTTCTTTTGCCACGAGATCATTTTGCCACTGTTAGAGCAAAAAAGACACCATAGAAAAGGCTTTCAGCTCTCAACGAGAATCCATCAAGCAAATGCTGTAAATAACTTGTTGAACAATCAGCTCGTCCCGGGAGCGCAATTAAATGTGAGTATTGTTTTAGCCGCCTTTGCATGTTGTGGCTTTTACAGTGTCGCTTTGTGGAGATGATCTATTTTTAATTGGGATTCTGCTTTTATAGTGAGCTTTTTAAAAGGCTTACATGTTACACGGGAACTGAAAATAATACTGAATGAGCGTTGTAAAGAACAAAAGTTTAATAAAAGCCAGACATTGATACAACATATTAAATAGTATTGATCACGCCTTTAAGACTCATGACATTCCTAACCTAAGTTGGTATTAGTAATAGTCATCAACTCGTCAGTTATTTAATTAAAGAAATATTGCTTCAAAACCTGTTGCCCAAATGCGTAAATATGAATTTTGCCTCTGCGGAAAATCTGACTCGGAACATTAAAAAAGCTGATTGGTGCGAGAATAAGCCATTAATCAAGCAGTTGATAAATCCATATCAATTTGAGTAAATGACTAATCTATAAAACGCACTTTTCTATTTTCTTACATACACACACTCACTCTTTTAAAGATATACTGTATGTGTGAAGGATTTTTATAGAGTTTGTTTTTGTCAACCAGTGGCGTCACCGTCGAGCCGCCACAAAGGGTAACAATGGTCACCCCTAAAACTTGTCAGTTTGGTTAAACCAGTTTTGGCACATAGGAAAGGATCCGACAGTTTATTTTTCAATGTAAAACGTATTTGTTTGTTTACTGGTTGCTAATCGTAAAATGGTCATCAGAGTTTTTCATACATTTTTAAAAAGCAACAGTTAATTAATGTCAACATGAAATATTTCTGTAAAATGGAAGGTAGTGTTCAATTTAACATGTATTTATTGCTTAGTTATTTTTTCAAAGCCAATTTTCAATACCAATGTCAACTTTTTGGAACAAAAAATATAAGCTTCAATGCAACATTTTTTACTTATTTATTTATTTATTTTTATTTTTTATATTATGCATAGTTTGTGTGCATTACTGTCAATGGTCAATCACTAACCTCCTTTTTTTAGCCCCAGAACCTTGAGGGGACAAAAGGCAAAAACTCAGCTTTAGGGGTTTTACTCCCCCCCCCCCCCCCTTACTAATATGCTGTGTGCTTCTTTGCATGTTAGATGACCAGAAGAACTTTGAATTATAAATGGCAGAATATTTCAAATATAAGCTGTCTGCCTGTGGCTGCAGGACTATCGCACTGTCCCCACATCACTCACATCCCCTCGGTGAAATTGTGGCTCTTCTGCAGAAAAGTGCTGGGGGAAAAAAAACCTCCCTGCAAATAACAAGTGAGCTAATGTGGCTGGTGTTGTTGGTGAAGTTAAAGGTGGAGCAGTAATAGTGTTTTTATGTGCAGGTGGTTCGAGTGCACGGATTGCATTTGGGACACACACAGAGAAAAAACAGTTAAGTGACTAAAACAGAAAAGGATGAGATCTTGAATGGAGATCTTAGAGAGAAGTGAGATTCTGAAGAAGGAAAGGGAAAGAAAAACATGTTCCCACACAGACGTGTTTCTGCTTGCCAATGGATCCCACTGTGACTCATATTGAGGGGTTGGCTTTTGGCTCTGAGGATGTTGGGAGAATTTATCCATTTATTGTTGCTTTCATCAGCCAGAGCAAAGCAAAGCACAACATCAGTCTGCCTAAACTGGCAGCAGATCAGAAGTGATTGCTTGGAAGTCAATGCAATCAATAAACACAATGAGAAGGAATTGTGTGTGTATTTGTCCGTGCATGTGTGCGCGTGTAAAAGCAAAAATCCTCACCAGGTGGAAAATTGTTGAAAGATAAACAACAGAATTAGCACCAGGCTGTTTCACCAAGATGCTTATTTTGTTTGTTTGCGTTTTAAAACTTTTGTGGATACTTCCAGTTAAGGGATGTGACCCCTATATAGAAGTCACATTGAGATCAGAAAGTCACAACCGTTGACGGGGGGCAAAAGCCGTACTTAAGCAGGATGACTATGAAATGAATGAAACCCATCCGTAATGATTTTTCAGAGTGTAGCAGGGGAAGTTTGTAACCATTACGAGCCATGGACCACGACAGGCCGTCTGCTGACTTTTAAAACACTCTGCTATGCTTGAGCTGCCCAGGGGACGGGATGCAAGCAGACACAAGGGGGTGTTTCAGGGATTTAAGAAAAAGTGAAGTGAAAGAGATGGAGAGAGGGGTGGGAGAAGGATAGAGGTGAGGTGGCTCTTCCTCTCCCTGCATATGGAGAGGTGCTTAAATATTTATGACTTTTAATATAGAATCTGACCTCGTATTTTTTTTTTGCGGTGAAATTATGGCATTCCCGAGCTGCTCGCTGCATTTTGAGCAGTGTCACCAAGGCAGAGATATGAGAAAAAGAGAAAACATGAGTAGAAGATGATATTTGGTAATATCAAACTCTGAACAGAGGCTATAATAGGTTGTGCTGTCTTTACACTGTACTTGCAGAAATGTGTGCCTAGGATAAAGTGGTGATGCTAAAGATAAATTTGAAATATTTAGAATTTTAGAGGATTTTTTTTCACAAGCCTGCATTATTTCATAGATTAACTCTTAACTTCTTATGATGAATCCAACTGCTGCATCTTATTAATCATAAGTGATCATTTTTAATTAAATAAGAAGATAAGTGACCATCCCTACACACAGCTGATACCTAATTTGACATGGAGCATTGTGAATGTCAGCATTAGGATTATAAAGCAGCCTCATAAAGTGTGAAGAGATATTTGTGTGTTGAAAATGAGAGAGGCGAATCCTGTGGTGCACCTCGGATGATCAGAGACTGACATTTATATTCATTGAAAATAATGCACAAGGAAAGGAAAGGAACTTTCATGGGGAGTTTTATTCATCACTCAGAGTTCTAGCTGTGTTATCAAATTTCTAGCAGACCTCTTGTTGGGTGTCCTCTTGCTTGACAGGAGCAATATTAAAAGAAATTTTGTGCTTTTTTTTGCCTGATTTTCTCCTTTTTTTTGAATTTAGGCTGCCATCCCTAAGTACTGTAGGCATCAACATGTCTAGGCAGCTGTCACTTGTTCATAAGTCAAATAAACATACTTTATTATGGTTCATGTTTGAGATGGTTTTGGGTTTTGTTCTTTAGTTCCTTTTCTTTGATTAGATCGACCATGTTTCTTTTTTTACTTTGGTTCAATCCTCTCTGAACTTTGGTTCTTGTGTCTAGTTATTCCTTGTTTATATAGTTTAATTTTGCTTCTCAGGTCTTGTTATTTTTTAGTGTTAGATTCATTTCCTAGACTTAGAGCCTTGTGTATGCTCGCTTCCCCCTTGTGCCACTTTCTTGCTCTCTCTCCCCTCACACCTGCAATCAGTGAGCCAATCAGCCCAGGTTCATTGTCCCATGGTCACTGTCCCATTACTTAAACACTTCTGCTCCTCAGCCTCCTTCCTGGTTCCTCCCGTTGTACCTTGTTATCTCTGTAGTTTCTGTGCCATTCTTTATTTCCTGGTTTCCTTTAGTTTTTATTCTACTCTTGATCACTGCATTCCCTGTTTCTCCAAGGTTAGTTTTTGTTGTAAAGTGTTGTTTCTCATTTTTTAAAATTAAATCCTTCAACATGGTCCATGCTCCCAATTAATGCTCTGCACATTTTATTGTACTTTTTACAATGATGATTATCTATCTAAAGAGAAGTAACTGATCCAACTTGTGCCTTAAAAGATATTAACCATGTAGTCATGGTAACATTGTTGACTTTGTTGAAGTTGAATTATTATTATTATTATTATTTTATTTAGTAATTTTTTTTCCTGACCCATTTGTTTGCACCCCTGGAAAGATATGCAATTGGCCTTAAAATGAAATGATCTATTAGTTTTTCCAACCCAACCTTTAATCAGATTAGATATATTCAGTCGGCTAAGATAACTGTTTAATTATTGTCTTAATAAAATCTCTGGCATGATTATTGATACTGCTGCTATTACTACTTTTTACCATCTCCCTGTGCAAACCATAAGACTAAAGTATTTTATTAAGGTTGGAGCACAGTGGGATGCTTTTATTATTTTTCTATGCACAATGTCACTATGTCACCCGGCGTTTCGGGTTCTTACCGATGGTTAATTCTCCCAGCATACCTCACAAGTAGTCTAACACATTCCCAACTACAATGGGCAGAAGGTTATTAGCTACTTTTCCAAATCTTCATTCTTTGTTTCATGTTAACCAAACCTGGAGTCTTTGTTGCCAAAAATGCTTAATCATGGTCTCTTCTGACCAAATACCAAAAGGTGGAGCAGAATTATTATTTTTTTTCTGGGATGCTTACTAAATTGATTGCAGATAGTATTTATTTGTTGCTATGGCTATGCTGCTATGCGTTTGCCCTTGATAGAGATTTTCATAACATCTTATTGTCCTTTGATGGCACGCTGACAGGAACATCAGGTCTTCAGGCAGCATTGCTTAACACGTTGATTTTTGTTCTAACGTTAGATATGGACAAGTTTAGCTTTTTAAATTGGAGTCTAATGTTATTTTTTAACATTAGATTTTTTTTCTCAAATGGAAATAAAATTTATATCTAAATTTCTTTGTATAAAAGTAAGATACTAAAATTATAAATATTTTCGGCACAAAATATGTAGAACTTATTTTCATCACAGCAAAACGACCCTGAGGATAACTCCACTAATCCAAATCTCCTATTTCAGAGGCAGTTATTCTTCTTGAAACACTCTTTATGTTAAGATTATTTATGTCTCTGAAGACAGCTGCGAGTCACCTTTGTCTGATGAGTTGCACCTTTGTCTGATGACTTGTGAAAGCTATACCCCAAATAAACTATTTCTGCCTCACTGTTTTACCTTAATGCATCCCAAATGCGTCTAAAGGGGCTTAGACAGATGTTGCTCTGCACAAAGGGTGTCGAAGGAGTCAGAAAAAGCAATAACTTAAACTCAGGGTCTTGACACATGGAAATAAGGCTTTTTGTATGAAAATCTTATGGAGATTATGCTTTTCGGAGCAAGTTTGATTTAAATTGCATGCAGTGGTTTCGACATGGTTATTACTGAGCATTACATACAGACAGAAGAACCTTGTATTGTGTTTTACTACCCTATAGGCAATGGGGGTTTTATGTTTGTCGTATTTTAGTGTGCTAACATTTTCCAACTGTCTTTTTTTTCTTCTCCTGTCTTTCAGGATGCTGTCAGTGGCAAACACCACAATTGACGGGCGATCAAGATCAGAATCTGCTGACATATGAGAAGTGTTGCTCCTCTTTGAACATCACATCTGACCGATTGTTGACCTTTTCATCAGTGATCAGCACTGTTGAGAAAGCTGACTTGTTGGCACATCTCATCAGCCAGTCAGATGTGCTGCCAATCAAAGCCAGAATAACGACGTGGACGCTAATAGTTGCCTGAATCTGCTCACACACGAGTTCAAGATGCTTCCACTGTTCCGAAATGCTTCATCGCACCATTCAGGCCCTCAAGTGATTTAGAGCCTTCCCTGTGGCACAGCAAAGAGGCAGTTGCAGCTTTAAAGACAAAAAACTTAGAAGAGGAATTCTAAAAAAGCCACAAAGAAAAAGATCAGCAATGTTTTGGCCTATATTACTCACCCTGCAGGCTGTGTGCACCAGTGTGACACATGCTATGCAACATTACCCTGCAGCCTGGGGACACTATGACGTGTGCAAGTCCCAGATCTATACAGAGGAGGGCCTGGCATGGGACTACATGGCCTGTCAGCCAGAAGCCACCGACATGACAAAGTACCTGCGAGTGGCCCTCGACCCCCCAAACATCACGTGTGGAGATCCGCCTGAGACGTACTGCGCTTTGGTGAGTCGTAACCTCGCTTGTCCCCTGATGGAGACAAATGAGGCTGTAGGCAGGATCACACAGCATATTGGGTCAGGGATAGGGAGCGCAGCCTATGAGGCAATATGGTGCCGTAGAGGCAGAGATTAATGTGTATAGACCCGGTGAGCAATAGGAAACAAGTTCTAAGTACAGCCGGAGCACACACATGCACGTTTCCGCATGCGTAAACACAGATTAAAGATGAGTTCAGATAAACTGGCAAATACTGACAGACCTGAGTGATCCCAGTTTAGAGGAAGTATTTTATATTACTTCAAGCTCAGTAAGCAAACATAAGCATAAATACATAAGTTGAAACTGTAAACTCACAATGTATTCACATATGTTAATAGAAATTTATACACAAGTATGTTAATATTAAATGCTTGATTTTTATTTTTTTGTCAAACCTTACTTAGGATTTAGATTTTCTCTATTTCCAATCAGTTTTATTACATTCTGGCTGAATTTACACAGTTGGATTTTATTATCTGCAACACATAATTTTATAAAATTAGAGGAAGTGCTCCAGGAACGTAAAAGAAACTCCTGCAAGTTTTTGCCGTGCTTTTTTAACTCGGTGATTACGCAACCTCTTATGGATTGCTTTTTGACACTGAGGAGGTGACTTATAACCTGGTCTTTTCTCAAACTTAGTGGTTCTCCAACATATTACACAATTTAGAGCGTTCTGTCTTTGAATTTCCAGGTTCATTTTAAGGATAATGCAGGTGATTTAGTTACTTCCAATGACAAATTGGACTCTTTAGATGCTTAGAAGTGCTTTACCAATGGTTGTTTTCCAGACCATACAGGGAACATCAAGGAATGGAATTATATTATAAGATGCACATTAACACCAAACAAAACTGTGCACACACACACACATACAGTACATCTTTCTAACTTCACAAGGACTCCACATTGGCCTCCACTCATTTTTCAGTCATTCTTACCTTGACACTTCTAAAGCCAACCCCTAATACAAAAATAGAACTTCTCTTTAAGGTGCCTGGGCTTTCTGCCCTGTAGTGGGTCCTCACAATGCAGTATTTGTTGGAAAATGCATCTTACAAAGTGAGAATTGCTAAAACACGCACACAACAGTAGGAAAAGGGTAATTGTACTTGTGTGTGTGCTTGATCACTCAGTGCTCTGTTTCGGCCCTTACAAGCCATTATCAACAGTTCATCCCCGGGTTGAGTTTGTTTGGAAACACACTTAAAGTAAGCTTAAAGAGCCCATAGGCTTTAGTGACTCATTAAAAGCTGCGTGCCTGCCCACCGAGAGCTGCAGCAAGTAAACATTTACCAATTAGGATGGTCTTCCTTAAAAGTGAAACTTTTTTTTTTTTTTTTGCACTGCACCAGATGGCATTGAGACATTTAATGCCACCGTAGGATGAAAAAGAAGTTAGTCTGGTGTATTCATTTGTGATATTCTTTGGAGCCTTGTGTCAAAACAAGCTGTGTAACCTTCATCATCTGTGTAAATTTATCTGAATGTGCAACATTAACACAACACAAGGAGCAGGATGAGCTAAACAGAGCTGAATACCGTTGCCAAGTTTATGAAGACCTTTTCCTCCTAATTTTACTCATCCAGCTGGATGCTTTTAGAGTAATTTTCTTTCACCTTTTTCTTTTTTTTTTCTTTTTCCAAATTTTTGGTGATTACATTTATGATATTGTTTCATTTATTTTGTTTTGGTATTGTTGTGTATGTGCAGTAAACTAATTAGTTAGATAGTTTAATAACGAAAAACTGCAAAACTGTGAAGATGAAAGAAAAAGGTACAAGGATTTTGGATTTTTAACACATACAATCCAGAATAATATGACATGCATGTGAATTTACCCTTTAATCCCTTTACTCTAATACCTCTAAGTAAATTAACGTACATGCAACATTATGCTCTGGGGATGCTTTTCTTGAGGAGGCAAAGAGACGTTAGTCTTGAGAGAATAGGATACCAAATTGAACTAAGTACAGGGCTGCTTTAAAAACAGAAAACTGTCAAACGCAGCAGAAAACTTCAGTTTCACCAGTAGAACCTCTAATATAGCTTGAGATACAAAGTAATTGTTTAAACATTATTTAAATGTCAGAGTAGATCAGCCAAAGTCCAGACAAATGAGAATCAATGGCAATATTGAGGATTGCTATTCACATACATTACCCAAGAAGAATAGGTGGAAGTTTTATTTTTTGTGTGTAATTCGATTTGACTTGAGCAAAATGTGCTAAAATAACGTAGTGAATTTGCTACTCTTAGTGGTGCTGGGTTTTCATTGCAATTTTTTCTGCTGCTGCTGCAGCTTTTTGCTCTTATTTGATGTTTTTTGTTCTATTCCATGCCATATGGTCATGAGAAGTAAATGAACATATGCTTAGAGTCTTACAGCCGTATTTTCAGTGGAAGATGGATATACAAAGAATGCGGTCAAGGAGGCTGAACACACTTGGAGTTTAACACACAAAAAAAATCCCTCCTAAATACATAAACGTTTTTGGTTTAATGTGACAAAATGCCAAAATGTGCAAGGGGTGTGAATACTTTTGCGAGGGATGACATTGTCAACTGGTTAAAACAGTTATTCTAATCAATATAAGTGTATTATGGTAAAATCTCTTTAGCTATTGCATCACTTAGTAAAAAAACAAGAAGGTAATTACGTAATATTGCATCACCTGTTTGTGCAATGCGTTGTGAAAATATTCTGCAAGAATTCAGATTTTTGTTATTTTATTGCTTGTGTCAAAAATACTGTTTGAGAAGGTCTCTGTGTGTGCTTTCCTTATTATTCTAGATTGGCTGAGGATTACTGGGTAATGGTTGGTAATTTCCTCAGCATTTCTGCCTCTTCAGGTTTGCAGCCCATCTTATAATATAAAAGTATCTAAAATGAAAGAACTTTTGGATGGAAAAAGAAAGAAATGCATTTTCATAAAATGGCAAAAAGAAGTGACAGGTCAAGATTAAAAATATATCTCTGTAATTTATTAAACAAGGACAGAATCTTCAACATCATTTGCTGGGAGGTTGTTTAGTCATAAAAAACATAATTTTAGATGTTTTTACATGTTTAAGTTGTTAAGTAGTCCATTATAAAATAATAGCATGCATAACTAAAATACATTGTGCTCAGAAATATTTTCTATAATGTTTCTCTTATGCGGTATTTTTTCAACTAGCCTAAATATGAGTACTTAAATTTGGACTTTGGCTGAAAGCCTGAGTACCCGGTAAGAATTCATGCATGAACAAGGAGGACAAGCCAAATGCATAGAGAAAGGCCAGAATTTCAACCCAGAAACTTTTTGTTTTGTATCAACAATGTCAGGCAAACGCATTAATGTGCAGCATTCTTTTTTATAAATTCTCAGAACGCAAAACTTCCACTTGACCAAAACTCTCGCACTGACCTCCTCTGAACTGAGAAATGAACAACAAATCAGTTGGCGATTTGTGGCAGTTTGGTCACTCAAATGAGTGATTTTATTTTGAATTCAACTTAAGGCTGATGATTTTTGTTGCTTTTTATTACACTGGTACCTATAAAAGTAGGAATTCGGGACTCGTGTTGTTCATAGCAGAAACAGACCCCATCAGATGGCAAATCATTTATGGAAGGAGAAGAGTTGGCTGAAGGAGCAAAGTCTATGATTATTAGCCACATGAACATGTTCCCTCATGATACTATGGATACTGAGTGAACAGAGATGCACTTTTTGCAAGGCTCAGAGTTTACAGTGTAATGTTCTAAAAACCACATAAAACACTAACCATACATTAAGGGTACTTTGTGTACTAAGTTCAGATGAGCAGGGTTGAAGACTGTTAATCTCCATTTGAAAACCTATTTAATTTGTTTATTTGCTCATTTTATTCAAATGGAGGCCTTCAGTTCACAGCACTTGTTCCCTTCGTAACAATATGTGTTTGATCTGCACTGCTGTGCATCTGATCTAAACAGTCCATAGCTGAAAAATACAATTTAAGGTGAAACCCAAAAACCTTTTTAGATACCAAAAAGTGCCCAATTAATTGGGTGTTATAAGCACTTTTCAACTTTTCTAGTAAATGTAATTCATCATTTTATTCATCATCATTTTGTCACAAGTAATTAAAATAGATATTTAAATGGTCATTATTAACAAAAGTTTAATTAGATACACATGGATGCATATAGGGAAAGCAGTTATCACATTGGTTCTTTCCTGCATTGTAGTTGTGAAACTGGACTCACTGAATGAATGAATGAATGAATGAATGAATGAATGAATGAATGAATGAATGAATGAATGAATGAATGAATGAGCACTGAAAGTCAAGCATCACCCTCCCATGTGTTTCCCATAACTCACTGCCGCATTGACTCACATCACTGAGAAATTTGTGTCAACATTGCTAAGGCTGCCTAAGTAATCATGCTTATGGCAGCGTCTCTGGATGAAACCAAATAAATTCCTATAATTCTTTCAAACTTTACACACTTATTTGACAATAGAGGAGAAAAGAAGTAGCTGTCAGTTCACTCCAACATCTCCTGCTGTGTTTGTAGATGTAAAGGCGAAATGAGAGCTCCTTTAAGCTCCGTGGAAACGACACATTACTGGCCATCTGTGCAGACGACTCATCTCTGACAATACCACGAGTCATTGTGAACTTTCAGTCTTTGTCTTACATGTAAACAACTAATGTTAGCATCTTCTAAATAGACTTTAGAGGCACAGATAGATTATAAACCATAGAAAATGGTTAGAAGCTTTGCTGACAGAAATGCTAAATTTGCATAATGTATATTATGTATGAGCTCTGCCAGTTACATTTTGTTATGGAAACAAATCCCTGTTTCATATGTTTCTTTCCGAAGCAAGGCGATACAAATAGGTGCTTCCATTGAAGTTTTTATTTTCATAATTTCAATTTGTGCCATTTTCAGGTCAGTGGAAGTCCAGCTTGCGTTGTTGAGGAA